TTAAACATTGTAAAATCTAATGCTGTCACGGCAACTAATAAGCTAAATCATTTCTCATTTGTTATGTATTCATATCTGTTACAAAACAATATGAACTACCATACAGCCCAGATGTCAACATTCAACTGCCTATACTTTGTTTTCACTCCAATTAACCACTTAGCACTTGACTGTACACAGTGTCAGTATGTTGGTAAGTTAATAAAAATGTTTTTCATCCCTGTAGCTTTCTACCTATCATTTATCAAAATTACCAATCTTTGACATTATTCGTAAAGGACATGCACTCATAAATAAATGGAAATTTTGCTTTATTGGATGATCCTGATTTAGTGTAAGTAGAAAGCCAAATTTACATGATTTTACTAATTTACAGTACATTTATATGTACTTTCAGGAATGGACAATTCTCATTTAAATAAACAATAGGAAAGAAACCAACTCACCTTTTTGCACTCATCTGTTCTCTTAGCTTACTGTACATTTCCAGCACTGCATTAAAGAAATATAATACTTTAGCTCTCAAGATGAAGTAAAGAATTTTGAGAAATTAAAGTAGGCAAAAATATACTACAAAACTTATCAATCTTTTCTATACTTTGAATCTGGTTGATATTTTGAAATACAATGTTGTAGGATTCAAGTAAATGAAAACATTTTTATTTCCACATACAATAACCTATACATAAAAAACCTAGAATACGTGTATACACTGACACCTGTAACTGAGACAATCTACTAACAATTTTTCTATTCAGAAATTACTAATATTTATTCCCTGAAATGGAATTATAAATTTAGACGTTAGCTAAAGGAAAAAACTGAGTGACAGTGAGATTCATTATCTTTGGCCCAGCATACCAAATAAAATAACACAATTGTGTTATAATTAACTATACACAATAAAAATTTACAACAAATCTATAAAGAAAAAAATTAAATGCTTATAGTACAGAGGCAACAACATAGTAGGGTTAAAAAATAAACACAGCTAATCATGAGTTATTCAATAAAATTGTCATAAAATTGTCAACAAAAGGATTTAATGCAACTATGCAGATTACTATTTATCCTTAATAGAATTTCTTCTTTTTTTGGGGCCAGAAATCAAACTCAGGGCCTCACCCTTGCCAGGCAGGCACCATACCACCTAGGTATATCCCCAGACTTAAGACAATTTCAAGTATAAAGTGAGTAAGTAAATTATTGGCTCATCAAACCAATTTACATTTTTTTAAACTAAGGAGATAGACATTTTTTCCCCCAGATTTTCTAGTTATAGGCTACTCCCAAAAGTTTTCAAGATTACAAATGATACTTTGAAAACTTTCAAACCTGCAATGATGGCAATAAAAAGCCTGCTCTAAATCAGTGACCTCACATGACACTACATATCTCTACCACAGCCCTACATTGTAAAGTAGTATGTCTTACATTTTCCAACCAAAGCATTAAACACATAAACCAGAACAGATTCTGCTGTCACAAGTATTGTTTCTTAAAAGTCCCCTGCTTTATCTCAATAATTCATGTAAATTTTACATCTACTTCATTATTTCCATTTAAAATTGTGTTTTCCTCAAAAACATTCAATTAAAATGAGTACACCAGGAAAGTGTATTGTTTATACTGTGAATTCTTATGTACTCTCCTATTCCTCTAAATCCAACAAGGAGTTAGACAATTATACAATAATGAATAACTTGTCTTTATTTATGTTAAATTATAGAATCCTTCAAAAGCTAGGACTATATCATTTTCAACTTTATAGTTCTAATACCTACCATAGTGTGTGAGACACACACAAAAAAATGTAAGTAGATAATTAAATTGATGAATAAAGTAAAGAAGGTAGTGCTGGACATGACTATTACAAACATGATACTAGAGCTGCTGTCCAGTCATGAAAGCAAATACAGTAGCAACAACAGAAAAAGAATCAACCTCTACTTTGCTTTATTTCTCTATTTCAATTACCCCTTTAGGAGAATAATCTGAGTTCAGCTCTTAATCATTTTACTAATACCCAATTTTTAGGCTTATTATCTAAATAAGGGACAAAGCATGAAAATTCAGAAACTATCTTGGTTACTATTATCTGATAATGGCAAAGATACTACTAAATTTCTTTAAGAAAGTAGGTTCATGGGGCTAGGAAAATAGCTTGACAGTCTAAGCACCTGCCTGGCAAGCACAAGGACCAGAGTCTGTTCCCTAATACCACATGCCATGCCAGCCCCAGAACCAGGGTACTCCATGCCAGTCACTGAAATTGGGCATGGTGGCCCACATCTATAATCCCAGCACTGGGAAGGCTAAGACAGGAGGATCACTACAAGTCTGAGCTGGGTAGTGAGACACTGTGCCAAACAAATATGAATATTTTTTAAAAATTAAAAAAATAGAAAGTAGGTTCCTCAAAAGCATGAATAAAGACTAAAATGCGTGTTGGATATTGTGAAATAGGAAAAAAATGTTCAAATGGGGAGTGGAATGGGGAGGGGGAGTAAAGAAAAGAAAGGAAAAGAAAAAAGAACAGAAGAAAAAAACCAATGCTTTTGCAAATTGGGAAGGCAAGGAGGATTGAAGGGAGAGTAGGGGAATGGGAAAAAAAGAATCAAGTTATATCATGTACAGGTAAAATTCTCTATGATGAATATGATTGTTATGCATATTTAAAATGTCCCAATAAAATCAAAAGAAGGGAGAAGATTTCTCAACCCTGAAGTCCAACATAATAAAGAGGCATTCCACTTCAAGTTAATGTGCAAATATCCTTTGTCCATCAGAGATTAAACTGAGCAGACTTTCATTAATTCTTAAAAAAAACCTATTCTCATAAGAAAACAATAGTGTAATTATAAAATAATATATAGTGTATTATTAAAGTTATGTAATATACAGACTTCTAATATGTTTTAGCCAATACTATCTGTTGGTAGATTTATATATATAAAACATATTCATGTCCTGAGCTAACTTAACATCATATATTGTTATACAAAATATTTTGTTCTCTTGGATATGGAGATTTAGGTTCCTTCGTCAAAAAGAAGACAAAATGAGAGGGGTGTGGCTTACAATATTTTTAAAAATAATATATACCTGTTTGCTTTTGTTTGAATAGGATATATCCAACTTAAAGTATATTAAGTCCAGGTAAGGAAAATACTATTTAGTTTCTTCAATACACATAAGCCATAACAGAGAAACAGAAACAGTCTTTCCACAATACAGGAGCAAAGGAAAGAAAGGAGAAGACATAGCACTTCTGGTATTATCTTACTTTAGCAGCAAAATGAGACTGCGAGCAAAACAAAACCAATCTGTTAAGTAACAAAAACAGTGGAAAACTATAGGTAAATGGCAAAGACAAGAAAACCTAATCAAAAGACACTCTCCCCATGTGAAAGAATTCTAAGGGAAAGTATTCTAAGGAAAAAAAGGAGAAGGGCAAAAGGGGCAAGAGGGCTCACAAGGCATATTAGGTAAAGAAGAAATGGAAAGGTAGAGGTTTGCCTAAGAGACTAATGTAATGGACAACCAAACAAGGGCTTTATAAAATAAGAAAATCATGGAAATTCAGGGAATAAAATGAACAGGAAAAGTAATGACGGGCTTTATTAGGCAGCAATTACCAAATAATCCAAATTCCTGTAACAAAGAATGACTAAGCGCTATTACTAAATTATAACATTATCAAACCATACATTATGTACATGACAGACAATTTTAACTTACCTGGAAGGCATAACTGCAATTTTTCTACTACCGTTGTAATATTCCTCTGCTGAATTCTACATCGAATAATATTTTCTGTTTGCATTATCATCTTAGAAAAGAAGAAATGTTCATATTTTTAAACAAACAGCTAAAAAGTGTTCATATATTAATTCCACAAAAAAGCATCATTTTCTTACCTCTTTCCCAGCATCTTGAAATCTTTGATTTGTATCAGTAACTTGCACCTTAAAAATAATTTCACCTTAGTTAGACAAATATGCACAAAACTGTCCTGATGTAACTGCTCACCCTTGTAATCAGATCATGCTTCATGAGAAACTTAGAACAAAGAAATGCAAATTCAAATTAACTCTACAGCTTGAACTTGAACCTTTGATTGAAAAAGGCTTTTGTTAACTTCAATTACTTATGACAGTTCTTTTTAACAGATTCTGTGGCAAACTTCTCAAATTTACTCAGGATTTTTGAACTTTACTTGCTTCTCTAAGTCTGTCAAACAATTCAAATCACTGACCCAATTGACCACTGGTCCCTTTTTGATAACTTCAATGAGGTCTATGTGCTATTCATTGTCTGTAGGAAATGGTGATTGCATTTTATGGTAATTAAACATTCATACTTTGCTGAATGCAAACACTGGGTGGCTGATTAACATCAAACATGGAACTCTCAACCCCCAGCAACATTTTAATGCTGCAGGTGCAGGCAAAGCTCAGCCTCAAATTTTCCCACATATTAAGTGATTCATTAGGTCATCATGGTAAAGAAGCACATTCTGGTTTATTAAAAATCTCATTAATTCCTGAACAAAGATGCTCAGTGACCTCATTGATGCTGTATTTGGTCTCTTGTTATCTGAATATCCTTTATGTAATAGTTTTCTAATCATAACCTTTGAATTTTGTCTGCTAAGAACTCTAAATGTAAAAATAGATAAATAGGACAATTCTTACAACTAAATATTTTCTATTATGACTGAATAAAATCCACAGCTTTTTTAATGAACAATGTTTTTACTCTTATACAGAAAATGTAGATCAACTTTACAATTACACATTGCTTATACACTTTAAAATTTCAATATAATTAACCTGGAGAAAAAATTATTTATAGTAAGTTTTGAAAGATTGCTCTTTATCAACATCATACTGTCATTTTAAAATTCTAAAACTGCAAATAGTATCTTTTATTTGTATGCATATTTTGAGTTTGTTTCAATACATGGAAAGAAATCCTGCTAAGTCAGCATATTACTTGCTTTAGAAATAAAAATTACCCCTTTCATTAGCATGACAACTGTGTTAACACAGCATAAATAGCATCCCAAATACACTTCTTGAGAGCATATTTAATAGTGGCTTTATATATGTGCATTGTAATGACTGAGAGATTTAATGAGAAAAAGACAACCAGAATGTTAATATTTTTCCTACCTTCAGTTTTTCTGCATCTGTTCTTACTTTGAGGAGTTCTGTAATTGCATCTACAAAACCCTGATGATGAAAATTACACATCTTTTCAATTTCCTTGTCATGATTACGGATACAAGCGTCTAATTTTTCCAAAAACTTCTTGTGCGCATTTGGCTGGTCATCATATACAGATCTGCATGTATGTAAGAAAACTAAAATTAACATTACAGTTCACCAAAATTTATTCTTTCTTAAGCCCATCTCTGCAGCAACTATAGATTAAATCTCTAAACAAATAAATAGCTTAGGCAGTTATTATCTTTAGTAGAACTAATTTGGGTAAAAATATTTAATTTCTTTTTGGACCTGTTACTATTGAAAGAGCAAAAGCCCTCTAAATAAATCACTATATATCCAGAAATAAGGCCTGAAGCAAAGAACACATAGGTCAAATATGTCTTTAACATAATAAAACTAAAAAAAAGTCACTAAGTGAATGAATAAGGAATGAATAAATAAACTCGTAACTTCTGTAGCATTTTCTATGGTCAGGCCATGACTTAAGTATTTAATAATATAATAATTTAATCCTCACAGCCAGCCAATAAAGTATTGTCATTATCCTTGTTTTTAAATATGTATTGCAGTTTATATCTAACTGCCATAAATTATACAGGTCAAGAGTGATATATGGGTCAAGAATCGCAGCAGAATGGCTCCAGAGTTCATATTTTCAAATACAATGTCATACTGTAGTTACCACAATGCTCTATGAATAAGGCATACACATACATACTATATCTCAGGTTACACTGTCTTGATATATGGGGCACCCCACCCTTGTTCACAACGTAACAAAGCAATAACCTTGTTCCTGGCTCCTCAGATGGAAGCCTTTAGAATGCTCCATCTTTGTTTATTTAGAGGACTCAATAATAGCATCTACAGTGGAGGTTTTGGGCTATGAGCTTTCAAGGGGCAAAAACTGGGGCTAGCAACATAGACAAGCAGTCATGTACATCGGCGGTTAGTCATGTCCACATGACCATAAGCAACTAAAGATCCCAGGCATGATGGCACAAGGGAACTTCTGAGTGCTGGAAAAAGTACTGTCCATAAAATTCCAATGGGACAAACACAACTGCACATTCATAACTGAAATTCTCCTGTATCTTGCCTTATCTATCTTTTCCTTTGTTAATTTTAATCTGCATTGCTTTGCTTTAGCAAATCAAAACTGTAAGTATACCAACTTTACTATATTCTATGAATCATTCACACAATTTTTTAATCTGAGTGTGATTCTATTCAAAATACACCTCCCTGGAGTCAGGAAAATGGCTGCTGTGTAGTTACAATGGAGCTTAGTCCTGGGAACTGTGGTTCATTGCATCAGAAATTTTAATTTAGAGTGTAATTTCTCAGAACATTCTCTCCAGGAAGAACTTTACAGTAATTTAAAGGCCTCGCTGGCTTCTTGATCCTGTATAAGCCCAAGGAAAAAATAAATGGGTCGCTCCAATTCTAGATCTCATTCTTCAAGATCAAAATCTAGATCACAGTCTAGTTCTTGATCAAGATCAAGATCGCACTCCAAAAAGAAGAGATACAGTTCTAGGGGCCAGGGAAATAGCTCAGTAGAATAAG